CTGAGACCTATCAGGGGGGCAGATGATCAGAACCCCCCATTGTCCATGTGCTACAGTCTCCTGGGATAAACGAACATAAAAAATGTCGTGAAATATTCACTGTATTGGACAGTGATGGGTGTGAAAGAAAGTAGTGAGTCAAGAGGGGAGAAAATAAACAAGGGACAAGAGACACAGGACTGTCGGGAGCTTTACAGGAAGAGGGCGCAGACAGTGCCAAGGCCCTGAGACAGAAGTATGGCTTATTTGGGGGTTGGTGAGCAGGTCCGTGTGGCTGAAGAGAGAGCAGGAGGGGAATCCACAGGGAGCTTGTGGATCTGACCCACCCTGTAACAGCTGCCCTAGCCCTACCTGAGTTTATGGCCTAGTTAGCACAAGTCCTGGAAGTTCCTCTGATTGGACCACCCCAGGTCATGTGCCCACCCTGAGCCAATCACTGTAGAGGAGGGAAAAGGTCACTTACTCCCATCCCGACTCCAGGAGACGAACCTGTAAAAGCTCTGGCCCTGAGAAGAGGGGTTGCTGGGTGGATGGGGTGAAAAAAGTGGATGTTAGGGGTACAGGCCCAGTGCACCGTGGTTATTGGAAACCATGGCAGGGACTGTAGCAAGAGCTCCTTAAGAAACAATGATTCCTTCTGTTACAACACAGGAAGGGCCACGTAGCCAAAGAGGAATTAGCCTAAACGTGGTCTCCAAAGACACAACTAATGTCCTTAAATAGAAATCACAGGGAATCAGGGTCTCACATGATCTACCAGGAATGGGCTGGGCTAAGGAGATGACTCAGTCAGTAACTCACTTTCTTTGCAAACACGTGGATCTGAGTTCAAGCCCCAGAACCTATGCAAAAATGTCAGAGTCATTTATAATCCCAGACTAGGAAACTGGCACAGGAGGACCCCTGGAGCTCACTGGTCAGCTAGCCTGGCCTACTAGGCAAGCTCCAGGCTAACGGAAAAACACTATCTCAAGCATCACTCAAGGGACACCACCTATGGTTAACCTCTGGCCTCCACATGTACATGCACCTGAACCTACACATATAAACACACACACACACACACACACACACACACACACATCATCTAACAACTGAAGTTGTTCTCAGTAAGCTTCCTGTTATTGGAGGGAAACAAAAAAGGATCATCCAGATCATCCTGGTGGCTGGAGGAGGAAGTGTGTGGTAGATGTCCTCTGAAGTTGGTGGGGTCCCAGGATCCTCTCTGCTAATGTGGTCCTTTAGCAGAACCCTGAAATAAGGCCATTAGCTCTTTTTCAAAAACTTAAGCCAAGGCATAGAAGGATCCGAGGAAAGAGAATTAAGAGATTAAAGCCCCCTGAGCTCTGACAATCTGGTCCCGAAGGCAAGGGGGACAGATGGGACACAGTCATACCCAGGACCAGGCAAGTTGCTCCCCAAAAGCTCAGGGCTGAGCCAAGCCTCTGCCAAGGCTCTGGGCTCTCCTGGGAAGTAAATGGAGGGGTGGAGAAGGGATGTTCCAGAAAGACCCAGCAGTCCATCCTAAGAGTTTATGATGGTGAGTCTTAGTTGTTCAATCTGATTGCATTAAGAGTCGCCTAGAAGGTTTCTGAAGCATGCTCCTGGGTGTTTCCTCCGACGATTGACATGTTGACCAGCATACTGAGAAGGAAAGACCAGCCCTGGAGGGAACAACACCTTTCTATAGGCCTGGGTGTGGGAAAATAAAACCAACCAGAAGAGGGACGGGAAGGGAAGCTGGTTCACATTTAGCCTTTACTGATCAAGTGCTACTGTTGCTGCTGTCGCCATAGTAGATGGGCTCAGATTCCAGCGCCTTTAGCCTCTGAACGTGGAACATGTGCCAGCAGCTCTCCAGGGGTGCCCAGGCCTTCACCCTCAAACTGGGGCTGCATCATCAGTCCCTGTTAGACTGAGAAGCCGCTGGTTTCCTCAGCTCTCCAGTATGCAGATCACTATAGTGGGATTATTTAACCTGTCGGCTCAAGTAAGCTAATTTAATAAATGCCCCCTTGCCATTTTATTTTTTAATATTTTATTTATTGTTTTCATTTTATGTGTATGAGTGTTTTGCCTGCATGAATGTAAATGTACCACATATGCACAATGCCTGTGAAGGCCAAGAAGAAGGCGCTGGAGTCTCTGAAACTGGAGTTACAGACAGTTTATTAGCTGCCATGTGGATGCTGGGAACTGAACCCAGGTCCTCTGCAAGAGCAACCAGTGCTCTTAATGGCTGAGTCGTCTCTCCAGCCCTGCCCCTTACCATCTTATATACACAGGTATATTCCAGAGCTCTGTTTTGGTCCTCTGGAAAACACTGGCTAATCCAGGTCTTCTAATCTTTTTCAGTCCCTACACAAAAGTCAAGCTGAAGACTATGAAGAAAGGGGGCTGGACATAGATTGAGGGTGTCCAGAATGGTATCTTAGGTGTAGAGGTACGGGTACTGTGCCCAGGAGGCTGGCAGGGCCATCTAGACAGGACAAAGCCCAGAGGCCCCCTCTGCAACAGGACCACAGGTCCATTTCTCCAGGCCTCCACCTTGTGTTTTGAGGCACTTAGGGCTCACTGATAAGCTGGGCTGACCGGCCACCAATGTCCAGCAATCTGCTTATCTCCGCTCCCCTAGAACTGGAATTCTAAGCACATGCCACCACAATGTCTTTAAAAAAAAAAAACAAAAAAAAACATGGGTTCTGGGGACCAAACTAAGTTTCACTTGCTTGCACAGCAAACACACCGAGTATTGCCCCAGCCCCCCCTTTAGACTCTTTCCAGGTGTCATCGTCCCCTGAAGTCGTCCCTGTCCTCCAATGATGAACCTTCCCGTAGTTTGTCCCTATGCCCTGCCAGAGCATGACCACTCAGACACTCATGCTCCTGCCTATGAGCTGGGTGCCCCTAAGCCCTTCACTCAGTCTTGCTGGAGAGCAGTTTGACACTTCACACTGAAGCCTTGGCTCTTTGGCAAGCTTTGAGGGGCCAAGCCTGAGGCCTGGGCACGGGGAAGTTAGGAACCCCTGCCTGGGGCCTCCATGGGATGGGCAGGGGTACACCGGGCAGAGCTAGGCCCAGCAGCATAGCATCCCCAGTTATGACAATGTAGAGGTGACCATGAGCTGCTTCCAGAGCAGTGTCCTGAAACCATACCCAAGGTTTCCTGCAGTCGGCGGGGCCAGGGAACAGTTTGAAGAAGGTGGCTTGCCCACGGAGGCTGGCATCATGGGCTACAGAGCAGAAGGTCCTTGAAATGTGGACATAAAATAAGGGAGGCAGGGCTGGAGATATGGCTCAGTCAGTAATGTCCTTGCCAAACAAGCGTAAGGACTTGAGTTCAAGCCCCAGGATCCACATTTAAATAAAAACAAATTTTAAATCAGGAGTAGTGGCTTGTGCTTGTAATCCCAGTGCCAGGATGAGGGCAGAGACAAGGGATCCCTGGGGCTCACTGGCCAGCCAGTTTCACCCAATCAACAAGTTCCACATCAATGAGACACTCTTTGTTTTCTGGTCTCCACATGCACGTGTACACGTATGCATGGACATCTGTACATACATATGTACGTGCACATACACACACACCACAAAAAGCACAACCTTATGTTGTCCTGATGATTTTAGCGATGTGGATTTACAATGGTTGGCATTTATTGAGCACCTACTGTGTGCACTTTATCATAGTATCTTGCATCTTGAATCCTTGTTAGGTTTCAGAGCCTCTAGTGGCCTTTCTCTCCCTCTCTCAGAAATCACCCCTCCCTGCAGTCCTGTGGACAGTTGATCAGCAAGCTTGCTGTGGCCTTGCAAATTCCTCCTCCCCACAGCTGTAAGCCCAGGCCCCCTGATGCCCAAGCCCAAGACAACTTTGAATTATAGCTTTACTTTTATCTAGTGACTTCTTGCCCTGTGACTCCCAGCATGTAGGATAGGTCACATAGTGGAGAACAAACTCCCCACCTCCCTGGAACAAGGAACTTCCTTTGTTCCCCAGAATCGAAGGCTCTTTCTCTTCAGGACCCCCAACAGGCTATTCATGGTAGCTCTCTCCCCTAAAGAAGCTCCTCCTGGGAGCTGAACCACTCTCCCGATCCAGGGCCCCATCATGGCTGCCTGTGGCATTGATGCTGTAACTTTCCTAGTATCTCTCTTCTGAAGAGTAATTCATCTCAGCTTCCTTTCTACCAAGGCTATAACATCTTTTATTTTTCTTTAAAGAAAAAAAAATTTTTTTGGTCTTTTTGAAACAGGGTTTCCCTGTAGCCCCAGCTGGCCCAGAACTCACTATGTAAACCAGGCTGGCCTTGAACTCACAGAGATCTGCCTGCCTCTGCCTCCCAAGTGCTGGGATTAAAGATGTGCACCACCACACCCAGCTTGTCTTTTTTAAATTAAAAAAAAAAGATTTATGTGTATGAGTATTTTGCCTGCATGTATATAACTATACCTGTGTCATGCAATGTCCACAGAGGCCAGAAGAGGGCATCAATTCCTCCGGAACTGGAGTTATGGATGGTTGTTAGACACCACATAGATGCTGGGAACTGAACCTGGGTCCCCTGCAAGAGCAGCCAGTGCTCTTTACCACTGAGCCATCTCTCCAGGCCCACATCTTTTATTTCTAACAGTCGTCAAACACTATGAAGCAACTGACAGGTATCCAAGTGTAGGCTCAAGGACAAGTTGGCCCACCATCACCTAGTTTGGAGGGGCAATGTCAGGACTGAGTCCATGGCTCCTTCCTCAGGGATCCTCTGAACGAAAGAAGAAAGAAATAATCTTGTACCCAAGTGAAGTTTATTCACAAGCAGCGATGAAGCACTCAGGAGGCCCAGCTGGCCCTTAGAGAGAACACAAAAGACCCTGCCTGAGCTGTCTGAGAATTGGAAAGGAAACGCAGAAGCACAAGACAGCTAGTGGGGGGTTCACAGCCACTGCAGCCCAGAACACCATCACCTGGCCTTAAGCAGGCTCAAAGGCATGGGCCACAGCCCGAAGATGCCCACGATGACCGCCAGATGGCAGAAGTAGGCTGCTTTAAAGCAGACCGCTCTTTGAGACCCATAGGTCACCTTCCAGAAGTGAGTGGCTAGCGAAAGCTCTGGGGAAAAGAAAAAGCAGAGAGGCCAGGGGCTCCACCCCTGAGGATGGTGGGCGGACCTAGCTCTTCCTCATGGTGTAGCCCTGGATCATGCTGTTGAAGTAGGCAGGAGTGTTGCGCTCTGGGTAAAACAGAATCATGTAACACTTGGGGCCAAAGTATCCCAGGCTGACAGACAGGAAGTTAAGTACGGTGACCAGGAGGTCCATGATGGTGACCAATACCCCATCATGGACTGACATGAAGGTACAGAGGGAGATGGAGGAAGTGAAGGAGAAGGTCATGCTGAGGGTAATGAACTTGGCTTCGTTGTAGTTGGTGGGCAGCTCCTTGCCCATGTAGGCGAAGCTGAAGCCCACCACGGACAGCAGCATGTCCATGCTGGTGTTGAGCAGCAGCCCATTGCGGTAGTTGGGGTGGCAAGAGAGGATGATGATGTTGGGGTCTTCTGGGTCGATCCGACCCATGGGGTTGATTGTGGAGGTCAGCATGTTGGCCACCACCAGCATCGCCTTGATGGCTGTGCTGAAGGCCACAAAGACATAGGGCCCATGGTAACGCATCCAGAAGCCATAGGCGCGAGGGAGGCGGCTGGCCATCTTGAAGACACATACAATCTGGAAGGAGCGCACGGTGATGCAGGACAGACAGATGGAGAAGCAGAGCGTAAACAAGGCCTGGCGGCAGAAACACGTGAAAACCGTGGGCGGCCCCACATACACTGGTACCATCCCAAATGCCAGCAGCAGTGGCACCAGCATCAGGAAGCACATGGGACCTCCCGCCGAGCGCACCATGGGCGTCTGGAAATGTTTCCAGAAGATGAACAGCATGCTCAGTGTGCTGAAAAATCCCAGGGCAGCCAGCATGGCCACCACGATGGTGGGCGCCTCGTACCACTGAAGGAAGGACAGCTGCCGCTTGAAGCAAGTGATGGCATTCTTGTGGGACCACATGGAACTCGGACAGAACTGGCAGTTAAATTCATCTGCAAAAGCCCACATTGACTCCTGTCAGCTGGACCCGACCTGTGTCTTCCGCACCTGAGCCCTGGGCCAGAGACAGACTAAAGGAAAGCCCAGTGTCATGGCCTATGCTCACCAAGCACACAGGAGCTCATCAAGGCCTCTCTGCAACCCCATCTCACAGACAAAGAAACCAAGGCCCAGCTAGGTTAAACCATTAAATCATGCTCCCCAAGTCATGAAGCCAGTATGTTACCAAGTCAGGATTCAAACCCAGATCTGCTTGCTCAGAACCCACCACCTGTAACTCCTCCCTTGAAGCCTGCAACCGTGTCTTCAAGAAATCCCTTCAGTATGCATTTTGGTGTGTGTGTGTGTGTGTGTGTGTGTGTGTGTGTGTGTGTGTCTTCCCAGTCCCTCAGTAAGTATTTTGAGAACCATTCACTATGGTAGGCACCAGAGAGGGGAGGCCCTGGAGACCCTAACTGCAGGCCATTGATAGAACTGTGACAGATAGACCAGAACAAGTTGTTGACAAACGTGGTCAGCACTTAGCGCCCTGTGCTCTGCTAGGAGCACAGCAAGAGCTTTTACCTAGAGATGAAATCACCAATTAATCTATGAATCAATGAGGTCACAAGAAAGATTTTGACTCAACCTTGAACTGCACTAAACACTGTGGTAAGATCAAAGACCTCTCTGGAGTCTGTTGCTCTCAGGGGAGATAGTGTCTTCCAATGAAGAAGTCAGTCAATGGGGACTAGGGAGATGGCTCAGCGGATAAAGTACCTTCCATAAAAGCATGGGGACTGCAGTTCGGATCCCCCCATCCCATGTAAAAGATGGACAGGCATGGCAGACACCTATAATTCTAGTCCTGGGGAGGTAGACAGAGACTGTCTGGAGCAAACTGGCTGCCAGACTAGCCAAACGGTGAGCTCTGGGTTCATTGAGAGGCCCTGTCTCAATAAATAAAGCAAAGAGTGATCAACGAAGACACCTGGTCTCAACTTCAGGCCTCCACACACACACATACACACATATACATATGCATGCACAAACACGTGTTTTCCACACACATGTACAGACATAAACATGCAAATTTTTTAAAAAGAATTCAGTTACTAATGGTATAGACCTGTAATCCCAGCTGCTTGGGAAACTGAGGCAAAATGATTTCAAGTTCAGGGCCTGTCTGGGAGACAGAGCAAGTTCAAGACCAGCCTGGGAAACTTAATGAGATTTTTTTGTTTGTTTCATCATGAAAAATAAAGAGGACTGGGGACATGACTTAGTGGTAGAGAGCTTGCCTAGCATTTGTGAGATTGGGGTTCAATCTCCAGCACCACAGAATGAAAGGTAGGGAGGGAAAGGGAAAGGGAAGAAGAGAGGGAGACAGAAAGGAGAGACAGAGACAGAGAGAGACACTGAACACTTCTCACCGAGAGACTCGTTGTCCTCTGAATTTGGCAAAGCACTTGAAAAGCTTCAGAAACAGATCAGATTCTTCCCCTCCGCCAGAACCTTCCTTTTATTAGGAGAGTCATCCATTCATCTGTTCACTCATTCATCATCCAGAGTACACCCAGGCCCCATGCTATGTGTGCATATTGGGGATCAGGGACCATCGAGCCTTGGGGAACTGTCCCTTCTCCCTCCCGAACCAGCCTATACTATGGATTTTGCTCTATACCAGGTACTGGGGGATCTCAGAGACATCAGGCCTGGTCTCTGACCTTTGGACACTTGCATCCCTTGGGAAGGCCCTGGAGACCCCAGGGCAGGGCAGTGATACTGGGTGATGAGCGAGCCTGGTATCTGGCTGAGGAAGGGCAGGACAGGTACTGTGGGAGCCATACCTGCAGAACGGTTGAGAAAGGTGCCTGGGGGGCAGTCGAAGCACTCAAAACAGCAGGGGTGGAGGCCCACCGGCTTTTTTATTTGTCCACTCTGGCAGCTCTTAGAACACATGGACACAGGGATCTAGAGAGAGGGAGACAAGAGACCCTCAGTCCCCCTTTCCCATCCTCTGGAAGGAGGGGAGGGCTTACTCCCCCCACCTACCAGGATGCTCAGGGAAGGGTGGTCTGGCCCTATTGGAACTGCTGCTAGAACTGAACCTTTGTAGGAACCTTCCAGGTGTTCCTTAATTGTTATCTAACCCAACACACTCTGTCTCTGGTAAAGAGACAGATTTCCCGAGGGTGCTGACAGCCATCTTGTCATAAAGAGGACAACATGCTCAAGGGGGGGGGGGGCGTTGGGGAATCCTGGATCCATCCTTGCCTGAACCTTTATCATCTACTTCCAGAATCAAGTACATAGTTGACTTTTTGCTACCATGTTTTCTGTCACTTATATCCAAGACTCTTGGTTAGCATATCCTTCTAAAGATCAGGGGTCCTGGGTGAGCTAGAACATACTGGGGCAGTGACCATGCCTGTTGACTCTACTGCAGAAAAGCCTGGCACAGAGCACACCTCTAGTCATTGTGCATAGAATGAATACATGAGTTACAGGAAACAGTAGGCATGACAATGAAGTGGGAGGATTGCAAGATGAGGAAGATGGAGCACCTGCACCCTGTGATGGAGAGCCATGTGTGGGCAGAGTATGGAAGAGGAAGAAGGAACCCTCAGGACCATGCCCCCAGACCTCGTCCCTCAGGAGGCTTGCCTATAGTGGGCTGAAGACTTAGGAGCTGCGGGAGGCAGTCATAATTCTGAAGTGGGTGAGGGGCCACTGGATCCTATGAACATGATTCTGACGACCAGTGAGGAGAGTGTCCCCCTGACACAGGTATGAAGAGCCTGGGACCCAGGCCAGGGAGCCACAGAAGGACCCCATGTCTTCTCGCCTCTCTTGTCTGAGGTCTCTGCCTTCGTGTCCCACCCATCCGATCCTCCTTGTACCTGGCCCAGTGGATGACATTTTCAGATGGCTTGCACCCTCCCTGGCATGTCACAGAAAAAAAAATCAGTGATTCTCCATCACTCGAAATTAAATATTCATAGGCCGGTGAGAAGGGTCAGTGGATAAAGGTGCCTGCCACAAAGTCTAATGACCTGAGTTGTATCACCAGAATCTGTGTAAAAGTGGAAGAAGAGACCTGCTCCATAGTTATCTTTTGACCTCTACATGTGCGCTTGCAATGCACACACACACATCATGCACACACGTCATGCACACACTCAATACTAATAATAAATAATTTTTTTTGTCTTTTTAAGACAGGGTCTCCCTGTAGCCCCAGCTGTCCTGGAACTCACTTTGTAGACCAGGCTGGCCTCAAACTCACAAAGATCCACCTGCCTCTGCCTCCCAAATGCTGGGATTAAAGGTGTGCACCACCACGCCCGGCTAATAATAAATAATTTTTTTAAATTAATCATCTGGGGATGGAGAGATGGCTCAGCGGTTAAGTTCACTGACTGCTCTTGCAGATGACCCAGGTTCGATTCCCAGCACCCACATGGCAGCATCAAACCGTCCTTAACTCCAGTTCCAGGGGAATCTGACGCCTTCTTCTGACCTCTGTGGCATTGCACAACACAATGCACTCACATACATGCACGCAATATACTCATAACACATAAAGTAAAAATAATAAATAAAATAGTTTTTTTAAAAAATTAAACATTTGAGCCAGGTGTGGTGGCGCATGCCTTTAATCCCAGCACTTGGGAGGCAGAGACAGGCGGATCTCTATGAATTCAAGGCCAGCCTGGTCTACATAGTGAGTTCCAGGACAGCCGGGGCTACAGGGAGACCCTGTCTCAAAAAGACCAAACAACAACAACAACAAAAAAATAATCATCTGATCCTCTACTGGGCTCCCTGGGACTTCTCTTATGTGGACTTCTTTACCAGCACACACACACACACACACACACACACACACACACACACACACACATCCCTTATGTAGAGCCACAACCCACCATTGTCAGGTTGCCTCTTTCCCCTCTGAACCTAAGGATTTCTTCACTAGCTTCCCTGGCTCCCAAAATACCAGATCAGTCCTGCCTTGCACCCTGAGATCTCACCCTGCTATTCACTCACTAATTTCTCATCCAGCCATTCAAATCTGCTGGGAGGCTGGGAAAACAGTTCAGTAGGTAAAGTGTTTGGCACACAAGCATGACGGCCTGAGTTCCACCCCTAGCGCCCATGTCCAAAGCAGGGCCTGGCAGCGTGTTTGTCATCTCGGCACCGGGGAGGCGGAGGTTGCTGGAGCTTGCTGACCAGACACCCTCGCTGAACTGGCAAGCCCTGGGTTCTAGTAAGAGACCCTGTCTCAACAAAAGTGGATGGCTGGGCCAGTGGGATGGCAAGGCACTTGCTGTACGAGACTGATGACCTGAGTCCGATTCCCGGAACCCACAGCGGAAGAAGAGAACCAACACCCAAAACTTGTAGGCTGACCTCTGCACACATGCCATTATATGTGCACATATGCACTCACACATACACATACACACATAATAATAAATGTTTTAAGAAAGGGTGCACAGTGGGATTTGAACTCGGGTCTTCTGCAAGAACAACCACTGCTCTCAACCGCAGAACCATCTCTCTAGATCCCTAAAGCTTTTTTTTAAACACTATCTGGAGTTAATTTCTAAGAAAAATTTTCATTATGAACAGAATATAAATTACTGGATTATCTCCTTCTTGATCACTGTATATAATTCCCAAATGTTCCCGTTTCCCTTCAAGACCTCTTTAGTTCTATTTTATGACATTACTTCTAAAACTTTTTGTATTTACTGACTTAATTTCTGAATTGGTAATAAATTTACTATCCTATTACAGTTGTTTCAGTCTGGATCAAAAATTGCTGAGTCTACTACAGATATTTGAGCCAAGAAGTGATATCTCATTTAACCTAGTGTTATATCTAGCACAGTATGAGCCCAGAGGTCCACTTTTTTCATAAGTGAATTAGAGCCAAGCAAATCAGTGATACAGCTCTCATCTGGTGAGAGTCTAGCTGTACAGCCTGACTCAGCTAGTCACCCAGGTTGTCAGTCAGCAGGAGCTCAGCAGTAATCATTGGATACATCTTTTTGAAGTATCTTCTATGTATCCCCCACCAATTCAACTGGACAAAAATCCAAGCACAATGTGGAGAACAATATTTCATCTTTCCCAATTATATGAGGCTAACTTTTGATTCATCAATTTTTTCCTCTGCTCCTACCTAAAATAAACTTCAGAGATAAGAAAGAAAGAAAGAAAGAAAGAGAGAGGGGGAAGGGAGGGAGGGGGGGAGAAAGAGAGAAAGAAAGAAAGAGAGAGAAAGAAAGAAAGAAAGAAAGAAAGAAAGAGAGAGAGAGAGAGAGAGAGAAAGGAGGCTGGGAATGGGGCAAACCCCTATGTCATTGGGAGGTGGTCCAGGGAGTGTTTCAAGTATGCTGGCCAGTCGAAAGAAAGAAAGAAAGAGCAAAGCAAGCACAGTTCCAGAGAAATAGTATCCAAGGTTAACCTCTTGTCTCCACATGAACATGCACACACACATATGCACTGCACACACATGCACACATCTGCATATACACATGATGCTGGGCACTGGAGCAGAGCAGTGATACAAAGTTCCTGCTGTAATGGGATTAGTGTTTTCATGAGGAAGAGAGTTATTAAATGTCATGAAGAAAACCAAAGCCATGCTCTCAGAACAGTGGTAGAGACAGACGAAAGCTTCGTTGGGGCTTCGTTGGGAAACTAGGGAACTCTGGCTTCCAACCTTAAGATCCCGAAGTCCTCACGTGAGAAGACAGGTGAACAAACGGACTGAGCAACTCAGAACCACCAGAGAACTGGGGGTCACAGGGCCCAGCACACTTCCAAAGCCAGGGTCAGGTGGACCAGGTCTTCTTCAGAAGCATTCTGCTTACAGGGGCAGAAACTGCCCCAAGAGAGAGCCAGTGGGAAAACTTCCAGAGTGAAACTTCCACCTGAAACTGAGTTCTGACCCTGTCAGAGGTAAAATAACTTCTGGGGAACAGCCTCAGGGGCCCCAGTACCTTCATAAGTTCAACATCCATGGGGCTGGAGAGATGGCTCAGCAGATAAAGAGCACTGGGTGTTCTTCCAGAGGACCCAGGTTCAGTTCCCAGCACCCACATGGCAGCTAATAATTGTCCGTAATTCCAGTTCCAGGGAATCAGATGCTCTCTTCTGATTTCTGCCGGCATTGCATGACAGGGGTGAACTTACATAAGTGCAGGCAAACTCTCATATACATAAAATAAAATAAATAAATGGATGAAGACTGGAAATAAGTTCCTCAAGCTTGGGCAAAGTCATTATTTTCATTTGGAATATGCCCAGCATTCTCCTTTCTCTTTCCCAAAGTTCTGTGGGTAAGGCACAGTATTCAAAAACCCAAGCAATGTGATGTCACCAGAGTGTCACTGATTTGTGGGTTGTGAGACCCCCAAAATCCAGTGCCATCCAGTCCTTCTGGCTCTTTTTTTAAACTCAGATTTTTATTTTTTTTTCTTCTGTGTGTGTGTGTGTGTGTGTGTGTGTGTGTGTGTGTGGTGAATGCACACGTGGTGGGTTACACATGTCCCTGCATGCATCAAGGGTCCTGCTCTATCACTCTCTGCCTTGAGACAGAGTCCTTGAGACAGGGTCTCTTACTAAATCTGGAGCCAGGCTGGTGGCTAGCAAACTCTAGAGATTCTCCTGTCTCCATCCCTCACAACATTGGGGTTATAGGTGTGCACACAACTACACCAGTTTTTTTATATGGATGCTGGGGATTCAAACTCAGGTCCTCATGCTGGCACAGCAAGCGCTCTTACCCACTGAGCCACCTCCCAAGCCCTTCGGTCTCATCTGAGGCCAGGGGAAGCAGGCAGCCGAGCAGCTCCTGTGAAGGATGCAGCTGAGGGACATGCTCTCACTAGGAGACCAAGACCTCAGCATAGGTTTATTGAGTGCTTCCCTTCATCCATACCTCCCCACTGCATCAGTCATATTTGGACATCATAACAGGGGACCACACCAGAAAGCAGGCTCAGCCACTAAGAAAGGATCTCAGGGCTGGGGACTTGGCTCAGCACCTGCTGTGAAAGCATGAAGACCTGAGTACAGACCCCCAGCACCCACCTAAAAGCTGGGTGTGTGGCACATGTCCATAACTCCAGGATCGGTTGGATAGAGACAGTAGGATGCCTGAAGCTCACAGACCAACCAGTCTAGCCAAATCAGTGAGCTCCAGGTTCAATAAGAGGCCTTGCCTCCTAGCACTCGTGAGGCACAGGCAGGTGAATCTCAGTGAGATCGAGGCCATGCTGGTTTACATTCTAAGTTCTAGGCAGTTGGGGCTATAGGGAGACCCTAGTTCAAAAACAAACATACAAGGGGGCTAGAGAGATGCCTAGGCAGTTAAGAGCACTGACTATTCTTGCAGAGGACCCAGATTCGGTTCCTAGCGCCTACATGGAAACAGACAACTGTCTGTAACTCCAGTTCCAGGGGATCCAATGCCCTCTTCTGACCTCCACAGGCATTGCACAACATGGGTGCACTTACATGCAGGCAACACACTCATACACATAAGATAAAAATAATAATAAAATATTTAAGAAACAAAGAAAAAACTATGTGTATAACATAAATGAAAAATGCTTTTGAGGGTCGAGCTCATCACACTAGAGATGACTGGGAAAAGAGTTGATGAGTTGAGAAATAAAGCAACAGAAATTTCCCAAGCCCAAAACAGGGGGAAACGACAGATGTGAACAAGAGAGAAGAGAACATCCACCATCTATGAGACAACTCCATGTACATAAGTGGACTATCCAGAGGAGAAGAGGGAGTGGAAATGGGGGGAAATACCTGAAAAGCAATGACTGAAGATTCCCCCAAACTAATAATAGACACTAAAGTACAAATCCAGCAAGCAGGTTAAATATCCACCAAACAACATGAGGGCATATTATGTTCAAACCTCACAGAACAAAGACAAAGTTAAAACCTCAGGCTGAGTGTGGTAGCACGTATCTATGATCCCAGCACTCGGGAGGCAGAGGCAAGCAGATCTCTATGAGTTCAAAGATAGCCTGATCTACATAGCAAGTTTCAGGTCAGCCAGGGCTACTTACTGAGGCCATGTCTAAATAGATGATGATAGATAGATAGATAGATGATAGATAGATAGATAGATAGATAGATAGATAGATAGATAGATAGATAGATGATAGATTGATAGAGATAGATAATAGATAGATAGATGATAGATAGATAATACATAGATAGATGATAGGAAGGATGATAGAATAGCAGTGTATTGTTAAGAACAATAAATGGAAAAACTACCCCACTAGTGGCTTTATTCAACCTGTTTGAATGGCGATCTGAGTGTTTGTTTCTATGAAGTTGTGGAAGCCAACTCACCCAGACACTAATGGCTAGAGAGATGGCTCAGTAATTAAGAGCACTGGCTGCTCCTGCAGAGGACCTGGTTCAGTTTTCAGGACTCACATGGCGGCTAACAACCACCTGGAATTCTAGTTCCAGGGAAGCCAATGCCTTCTTTTGACCTCTGGGGGCGTTGCATGTATGTGGTGCACTGACATACATGCAGAATAGAGACAGAAAACAGAATGATGGTCACCAGAGGGGAGAGGAAGGGAGAAAGGGAGACGCTGTTCAGTGGGTGCAATTCCAGTTTCACAATATGAAAAGGTGTGAGACACATCCTTAATATCAATGAATTATGTAGTTAAAAAGGGCTACAGTGAGAGATTTTATGTCAGGTGTTTTGCCTTAACTTTTTATTGTTTTACTTTTTATTTTTATTTTATGAGTGTATTGTCTGCAAGTATGTAAGTGCACCAGAGGTCAAGAGAAGCTGTACGATTCCCTAGAACTGGAGTTACAGATGGTTGCTAGCCACCATGTGGGTGCTGGGAATCAAATCCAAGTCCTCTGCACGAGCAGCCAGTGCTCTTAACTGCTGAGTCATCTCTCTAGTCCCTTACCTTAATTTAAAATGAAAAAAAATTAAACATATCAAAACTTATGGATGGCAGTGAGAACAGAACCTACAGGGTGGTTTAAAGTTATAAATATAGGGACTGTAGAGATGACTCAGCAGTTAAGAGCAATGACTGCTCTTACAGAGGACCTGAGTTCAATTCCCAGCACCCACATGGCGGCTAACAACCATCCATAACTCCAGTTCCAGGGGATCTAACACCTTCTTCTAACCTCCAAGGACACTGCACACAACACTGGTGCACTTACATGCATGCGGGCAATACACTCATACACATAAAATAAAAATAATAAAATTTTTAAAGTTATAAATATACAAATTTAAAAGAAAAGCCAGCTGTAGTGGTGCACGCCTGCAGCCCCAACCTCAAAAAGCTGAGAATTAGGATTGTGAGTCTGAGGCCAGCCTGGGCTACATAGTAAGACTCTGCCTTGGAAAAAAAAAAAAAAAAAAAAGAGGGTAGAGTGCTTGCCTAGCATGCATGAGGCCCTGAGTTTGAACCCAAGCACCCCATAAACCGGGGATGGTGGTGTAATCCCAGCACTCAAGAGGTGGAGGCAGGAGGATCAGGAGTTCAATTGCATTCTCATGTACATAATGCATTCAAGACCAGCTTAGGTTAGAGACCCTGTCAGAGCCGGGGGCGGGGGGGATTGAAGGAGAGAACAAAAGCCAAAGAAGGAAGAGAAGGGGGAGGAGGAGAGGCTGAGATGCAGTCCAGTGGCAGAGCTCTTACCTAGTACACGCAAGGCCCTGGATTTGATCCCCAGCACCACAAAAATAAATAAACAAGCAAACAGATAACGAAAGCTTGCACATCACTGGTATTCACAAGCTTGTGAGAGTCACACTCGCTCTCCGGCCCTGACAAAGTCCATGCGGAACCTGATGCCCTTGGTACTCTGCAGGGCACCAGTCTGGTCCAGGATATGGATGAATGACAGAATCTGGTGAGCAGGAAGAAGTGGATGCTTTCAATGCCCAAGTGAAGCCTCAGCACCCCAGAGGTCAGGAAATGAAGGCTACTATGATTTGGGGGGGCTGCCACACTGCTGATGTTTAGGGGAACCCAATGGCCTGGGCAATGTCAGCTCATCCTTTATAGGGAAAGGGACAAGCTATGCACTTTATACCTCCTGCTGTTAATACATACCACTTGTGAACCTGTACAGATCTGGGGGACAGCAGTACCCCCTGAGACCCCGGTACCTGTGCAAGATATTCTGCCATTCAAACCTTGTAACAACAGATCTGATTATAAGATGCATCTGCAGTGGACCGTTCAATGGGATAATTGCAACTCTACCCTTTCTGCAGCAGAGTGCCAGTCACTGTCGGAAATTCCACTCAAGGTGACCTGCTAGGTCATTGAGGAAACCAAGTACCTGACCTAGGACAGCAAGTGGCCCTCAGATTCATATTTATACAGTGAGTAGCCATTACCATGAGTGTCTACACGCCATGAGAGCACTAACTAGTGGCTCCTGTGGGCACAGCACACGTTCCCCCATAGATGGCTGAGAAGACCATCCTTGTCCTTGTGCCTGCCCTCTGCCCTTACAAGATCTCAGAGCCTCTTCCTCACACAGGATTTCCCCAGGGCTCATCATTGGAGAAGAACATTCAGGAACAGTTAACAAGGTGGTCAGCTGGGTACTTGAACAGGAGCTGGTGGTGAGCTGGTGATGGACAGATGTTCACTAAGACTCACCCAGGTTGCTCCTGAAGGGTGGGTGAAGGGAGGAAGCTTCTAGGAGGCAGAGCTGTGAGCAGAGCAGGAGATTGGTCACTGTGAGGGTAGGGAGATGTCCTGCAGGAGGCTGTCTCAGGGCCCTGAGGCTATGTGGTCCTGGACAGTTTGAGACAGGCTGTAAGAGGGAGAGGTATGGATGTGGATCTGTGAGAGAGCACACAGCATGAAGCTCCCGTGTCTCAGGTTTGTGCCAAGTACGGAGGACCCACCGACCCTGACACCTGCTTCATTAGGAAGCATTCAACCTAATGAAATGATGGGTACCGAGGGCTCTGCCAAGGGATGGTACACTGAGAATGGGGATGGTGCCGTAGGGGTGGGAGGACACATGTGCTGAATGGCTGTATGTGGAACAGGGCAGTACCGGCCAGAACATGTGGCTCCAGCAAGCTCAAGATGGGCCAAAGAGTGGCCACACCCACCATGGTCCTCAGGAGTCCATCGTAGTAGTCCATTGTATGTAGTCCATTGCCTTCCCTACATACAGTCTTAGAGTAGTGGGGATGAGATTCTGGTCCCTAGGGAGAGACATTTCCATGGCAAGCACAGTAGTCTCTGGAGTCACTACCTGGTCCCTTTGGGGCCATTCCACTGTGACTGAGAAGGTCACAGAAGGACGAGGTCATTGGCTTGGATTCCCACCAGGAGCTGGATCAGGGACATGGAGTGGAGTACCAGGGACTCACAGGCTGCTCTGTGTCTCTGTCCTGGTGACAACTGCCAAGGTGCATCCAAGTAGGCAGCTGAGGGATTGGGGGGGCGGGTCTTGGGGCAGAGGCTTCCATCACTTCCAGACCAGTGACCCAGAGCAGCCAAATTCTGGGGAAGGGGAAGAATCTAGAACCTGAGGTAGAAGAGACAGATGGTGATGCTACTTGATTCACCAAATGTCTCTTTTGTACAGACATGGCTGCCGAGCCTCTAAAGACTCTGTGTGCCTCCAGACTGGAGCATGACAACTTCACGCGGGTGTCATTTGCAGACACCTCACCTCAGCTACCAAGCCAAGTCTTTTATTCTCTGCCCTGGGGTTGCAGTATGAGATCCACCAGGAGCTGCTAGACAGGCATATGGGACCTGCAACACAAGAGACTTCACACTCCACACTTGGCCACTGAGGGATGGGTTAGTGTTACCCTCTTTTCTCCCTCAGGAGGCATCTATAAGGCAGGTCTTCAAGAGGTCAGGGTAAGATGTAATTTCATGGTTCACAACAGTGCCTAGCTTGAGGACAGCCCCTTGGACTGACTTTCCCTCTTCTTCACAGCAAGTTCTCCTATCTCCCAGTCCCATTACCTAGGAACATGTCTGGAATAATCTATCACATATGACTCTTGCCTTCTAGAGGGAACTCAGACTAAGACCTGTGAGATCCTAATGCCCACAGCCCACAACAGGGATATTGTATATTAAGGAGGCAGATGGTGTCTCATCCAGTAGGACTGATGTCACAGAGGGGACAGTGGGGCACAGACACAAGCCCAAAAATAATATCAGATGAGGAAGGCAGACATCAGAATGCAGCATCAACAAAGCAAAGAGGGCCAGAGGGCCAGCAAGCCGCCATGCGCCTCAGCAGGAACCAGGAACCGCCATCTCAACTTCTGCATCTAGAATCTGAGATCATAAACTCCTGTGGTATCAGCTCAAGGAAACTGATCCAGACAACAACCCAATTCACTCCACACAAGACTCCGGAGCTCAGCAGCTGGAGAGAGCACACAGGGCAGGGGAGTATGGAGAGGATATGGTCAAGGGGAGAGGGATGAAGCTCTTGGAGACATTTTAGATCCTAGATCCCCTCCCCTACTCCATCAGACTGGTCTCAGGCAGAATTCTGGCCATCTATTGTGGACAAAGGATGAAATAGAAGGCCCTGAGACTGACAATTGGCATGGCTACCATAACAGAATACAAGCATTAAATGGCAGGCTTCAGCTGGAAAGCTGTGTAGAGAGAGTCACTACCAGCTGGGGCTACAGGAAGACCCTGGAGGTGGGGGGGAGGGGA